TCCCTGCTCCCACCCCGGCCATCCTGGGGCCCCTGACATCACCGTGTCCGCACCGTGCTGCCAGCACCGTGTCTGTGCTGTGCCAGCACCCTGCTGCGCTCGCGTCCCGGCGGTGGTGGGGGCAGAAACCCCTGTGCCGAGCCCAGCCCACGTCACCGCCTGGCACTGGCTCCTGAGGTGCCGGTGCACGTCCAGACACGCTGCTGCACCGCACCAAACCACCATTAAAAGCTGCTGTGAGCAACTTCTCTGCCTCTCCCTCTCCCTCTAAAGTGCAGTCCCTCCCCTAAACCTGGCACACACCAGGGGTCCTGGGGAAAATTACGTTTATTAAAGAAGACCACAGCTGGCTGGACTTTCCTGGGTGCCACAAGCACAGCCCAGGGATGCCACCCAGCCCAGGATCACCCCGAAAAGCTCCCTGCAGGCTGCCTCCCCAACATGTCCTAGTGTCCCCATGTGCTCTGTGCCTGGCCATCCTGAGGCAGGAGCCCCGAGCACCTCCACCAAACCCCCTCCCCAGGCGAGGACAAGCATCCTCTGGCAGTCTCCGCAGCCCCGTCCATGTGGCTGCGTCAGGCACGGCCCCGGCCAAGGCGTAGATGGAAACACTTACTGACAGCCTCATCTCTGTATTTTTCCCTGATGCGTTGGCCAGCCCTGCGGCGTTCCCCCTTGGCACGTTGCCCCTGCCAGGGTGGCTCTTGGCCATGGGGTCCAGGCTCTCCTGCACCCCCTCTGCCACCCCAGCCCTGCTGTGGGCAGCATCCTTGGCACAGGCAGAGCCTCGTGTCTCAGCATGCACAAACTTTCCAGTCCTTTTGCCAGTGCCGAACAGCATTCTCGGAGGCCAGGCGGTTTTAAACTCAAAATGGAGTTTCCCAACCTTTTTGCCTGCTGGCTGTTGCTCCAGGGGTCCCCCGAGCAGCTGCAGTCTCGGCTGCAGCCCCGGAGGGGCCGGAGGGCAGCGCACTCACCTGCCGGGGCATCCGTCTGCCGGGCGTCCGAGGCTCTCGGCTCCGTTCCAGCCAGCGTCCCGGGGAAGGGAAGAGGCGAGAGAGGAGGATCCAGGAAAGGGCGGCCGGCCCCGGCGCTGATTCCCGCCTGCTCACCGCCCGGGGAAGGCGGCTGCGGGGCCCCACGCCGTGACATCAGCAGAGAGGGGCTGAGATCCTGCCGGAGCTGGCGGAGGAGCCGCGGGCGGGTGCTGTGGTGTCACAGCGTTTCCCGCAGCTCTGAGGCTCTGCCGGGTGCTCCCTGGCTCAGAATCTGACAGGGGAAAGAGAACAAGGTCCCCTCATCCGCTGGGGTTTGGGATTGACTTTTGGCCTCTTCTCTTGCTCAGGATCCCCCGGTACCTTTTACCCACCTCCCCAGGACCCCTTATCTGCGTTTCTGCCAAGGGATTATTTAGGCCTGAGAACAAAGTCCCGGCAGGGCTATTGGTAGCATCCTTGGAGCCCACAGGAGCCACCCTGGACTTTGCTCAGGCAGCTCCGATAGCATGGGACGGTATAAGCGGCTTCGAGAGCTGGGGACAGCGGGGGACGGTGGCAGGTGAGGTGGGGCTGGCGGCTCAGTCCGGCAGAGAGGAGGGAGCAGATGGGCAGGGGTCCCTTTGAGGGAGCTGTGGGCTCTGTGTGGCTTCGTCTCCTTTTGCAGGCAGGAGGAGAGGGGCAGGGTGGGAAGCAGGAGTGTTTGCAGCCCCTCAGTGCACCGTGCTGCATCCTTGCAACCCCCAGTCCTCAGGGGGTCCCACCCAGCACCCATGGCCAATGCCAGCATCCCACGGGCACCGCAAAAGGAGGGCACCATGTCAGGATGGGAGCCCCAGTAACCAGAGCATCTCCTGGAGGAGGATGTATTCAGCTGGCAAATGGGATTTTGGGGATCTCAGCTGCCACCATGGAGCAAGCGAGGAAGTCTGGCCACCTCTCCAAGCATCAGGCCAGTGGCCACAGCTCTTTGGCATGGGAAAACCCGCTTGGCCATGGCTGAAAAGGCAGAGCTGTGCTCCCCAGCGTGCAAGGGCAGCTCCTGAGCCTTTGCCAAGCATTCAAAGGGATTTGGGGTTTGCACTGGGAGCGGGGTGTCCCCCCCATCTGTGAACCCTCCTGGCTCCCTCACCCTGAACAACAACTGCCGGTGGCCTCGGAGGGACTTGGGACACAGGGTCCCTCTGAGGCCACCAGCTTTTGCTTTTACACTGGCTGCCCTCATTTTTGCAGATTTTTTTTGCTGTAGACATCCCTTATGGGATCTCGGGGAAGATCACTGCAGTCAGCAGGACAAACCCTCCTCCTCCTCCTTCCCAGGTGTAATTTTGGGACCTGTCTGGCCAGAAAAATCTGTTTTTTCCTGCCACGGGGCAAGCGCGGGGAGGAGCTGGGATGAGGCAGGAGAAGCACCTGAGCCAGTTCTCACCGGTGGTGGGTAAAAGGCTGACGTTTCCCCGGAGCAGGTCTCTCCTAATCCCTGTTTTCAGCCTATTTTAATCATGCTGCTTCACCTTTGCCCTTGCAGCAAGACTTCATTGTCTGACCTCCCCCCTGACTACTTCTGTCCTCGTTCCTCTCCACGTGTCCCTCCAAGCCCGGTGGGATGGACATTGCTCACCCAGTCAGATGATCGATGCCTCTCCATGCCAGTGGAGACGGGGTTTGCAGTTGCGTTGCTACAGCCGACGCCTGCAGCCACTTCTGCTTTCGGGCAGGAGGGGCCGTACCCATCAGGGCACCCAGCCCAGGCTGAGTGCCGGCTCCGGCTTTTGTTTGATTTCACAAGAAAAGGGATTTTCCCAAAGCTTCTGCTCTCCTTACTGCTCCTGGTGTGAGCTTTGCCCCACATGAAGGCAGGGGGAGCGGTGGTGTAGAGGAGGTGATGGCCAAGACGTTGCTCAGCAGCTCCTGCAAGCACAGCTACAATCCTGTCCTGATTGCCTCACCAAGTCAGCAATTTTGAGGAAAAAAGCGTGGGTTTTGTGCCCTGTGACTATGAGGAAGATCTTGCAGCTAGGAGATGATGAAACACAGACTGAGGACTGCCACGTCCAGAGGAAAGGCTCGTGTGGACAAGGAGAGGACGGGCTGTTCCCTGCGGCAAGGCTTGTGGGGCAGTGAGAGTGAGGGAAGGGGAAGAAAGCAAAAGGCATCCAAGTGACTAAACTGATCCCTGCGGCTGTTCGGCCACTTCTGCTCCCCAGGGGACAGAGGGAGCCTGGTTGCTCCCTATCGGGATGCTCAGTGTTTGTAGGAGCAACATCCCCTGGTCATTCCCTGTGTGTGGGGAGGAGGGCTGGAGAGGACCCCCCGAGACCCACCAAGAGGGCGTGGGATGTTCTGGGATCTCAAGAGCACATGGCACCGGAGCTGTCCTGGTTGAGGCCAGGCTGGGCCACGTCTCACTGCCGGCCAGTGTTCGGGGACAGGAGGTGGTCCCTCGTCATGCTGGGGAAGCTGGATGCTCCCCCAGTGCCTACGGCTGCGGTGATGGGCTGGTGCCCAGCAGCACCTTGGCATGCTAAGAGTTAAGCTGGAAGAGGGAGAGGAGACCTTTGTCCAGCTGCCCCTGCACCTTATCTGCACTGTGCCTGGGGAAAGCACAGCTGAGGTGAAGTCAATACAGGAACCGGTTACAGAAACCACATGTTGGTCAGTGGCACAAACAGTGTTTCTGAGTAAGGCAGATATTTTCTTTTATTGCAAACGACAAGGCTAAGCCACAAAGTGTACAACCAGATCTGAATTTTCCAGTGCTCTCAGACCCAACCCTAAGGTCTGCTCCAGTCTGGGAAAGATGCAGCAGCCATGAAGCCTGGCCCCGGCCACGGGAACCCCGGCACCTCGGCCTCGATGCCAGCCTGCTGCAGGGCCTTGCTTCAGTGTCAGCCAGGAAAACTGAGCAAAGGCACAGATAAAAATAACCCTTCTCTGTGCTTCCCGTTCTGACTGCCTTCCATGCACGTCTCGGGATGCGTCATGCATGAACCATGATTGCTCGTGCTTTCTCCCGCGTCCCTTGCGCTGTCAGCAAGTCACATGCGCTGCAGTGATTCATGGGGAGCACCATGGCTGGCAGCACCCCGCAGCCCCCCGCAGCCCCCGGCCCCCGCCGCCGCTGCCTGCAGAGCCTGGCAGCTGGTTTGCCCTCTCTTGCTTCCCCAACGGCATCGCCTTTGCAAGTGGCCCAGGGATCAAAGCAAAATTCACTGGAAATCACCAGGAGTTTTGTGGCACAGAAAGAGCCCCAGGGTCTCTCCAGTCTCATAGTCACCTTCTTGTTTATCAGCATGCTGAAACGACACGTTTTCCCGGTGAATTCACTGCTCCCCCAGCCCCTGCCCGCAGCGGTCGCCTCAGGCTCGGGGGGAGCTCCGGGATGCCCAGAGCCACCTCCTGGGACTTTCTGCTCCACGTGGGCAAGGTGTCCTCTTCTGCCAGTGTGGAAATCCCAGCTAAGGACCATGGAGACTGATCCATGCATTTCAGGCCCAATGCATTTCAGATCCAATGCTGCCCAGGGGCAGCAGCATCTCCTGCACCGCCAAGGCTCCCTCCAGAGCGGGGAGACTCCGGTAACACCGAGCCTGCAGCCCTGGCAGTGCCGTGGGTGCACCGAGGCTTTTAGCTCGCCGAGGAGGAGGGCAGGGGCCAGGGAAGGAGGATTTAACACTCCAGTGTATCCCAGCTGATATCTGCAGGGTTCTGCTGTGCCAATAACAACACGAGCATGGCAGGTTTTGTTTTATTAAAGCTTTATTCACCCATTTTTAAAAGAAGAGAATCTGCAAAGCAGATCACAGAGCTGCTCAAGACACTTTTATATTCATTATGAAATGGCTTCCTGGTGTGGACCAAACTTCTGCTGGGCTCTTCAGCTGTGGTCCCCGGGTGTCTTCATCACCCCTGGGGACACTGATGCAGCGGTGAAATCCCCTGCCCTGCCCAAGGGCAGCAGCCTGGTGTCTCCGTTCCCCTCCTGCCCCATGGGTTGCCACAGCCCTAATGGATGGCGGGGGCCAACCCCACCCTGTTATTTCCACGGTCAAAGACGGAGTAAAACTGACGGATGAAAACGTCACCCAAAATCCAGAGGGGTCCAGTGGGAGGGGTGATGTCCATCCCCTGGAAGCCGCTGGTGCAGAAGGCCATGCCGTCGCTGTACTCCTGGGGAAGGAGAATTGCAAAGCTGGGGATGAACCCGAGAGCCTCGTGCACACGGAAACCTGCAGGAATGGTGACTGCAGGTCCCGTGCACGAAGCAGTGGGGCTCGTCACCTGCCGCGATACACGGCTCAGCTCCCGGGGTGGCTCGGGGCCACCCTTGTCTCCAGAGCCACTTTTCCAACCCAGCAGATGGGAATGGGGGGCAGTGGTGCTGGCGGAGCTGCAGCCATACCATGAGGGTGTAGGCTTGGGCACTGAGCGTGTAGGGGAGCCCGTTGATGGTGAAGGTCACGTCAGGCATTATGTTGAGGTTGCTGCACTCCACGGCATACTGCAAAACAGCCGGGCGGCTTGGTGGTGCAGCTCCACGGGAGGTCCCTCCTGGTGGGGTGGGGGTCTCAGGGCTTTGCCCCCTCCTCTCCCCACCCTCGCTCTCACCTCTTTGTCCACAGGCACGGCACCGATATAGCCTTGCAATTCTTTTATATCCTTGGTGGGACCTGTGATGAGTGATGTCCCGGTGTCCACGATGGCCTGGCAGCCGTTCATGCAGAAAACCACTGTCCCACCCATCTGGATGCTGGATGAGGAGGAAAGAGAGAAGGACCAAGAGGGACTTGTCCTGCTCCCCCGCCCCAGCCCAACAATTCCCTCCCTGCCCAGCACCACTCACTTGTCCAGCTGGATCTGCCAGTACCCTTGCTGGGTGACTGGCACCCAGTTCAGGGTCCCCATGAAGCGAGAGGGGTCAAAGCCACCAAAGAGCAGCTCTCCTCCCAGGGAGGATTCGGGGTTCCTGGAGGGAGGAGGAGGAGACGTGAGGGATTTTCTCTCTTTTACATTGCATTTTAAATGGGTGGATTTATACCCACTCTCTTCCCCCAAATGCTTGGGGTCATTCGCTTTATTCCTGTAAGGCCTCAGGTCCGTGATGCTCGGCATGGTACCAAAAAACTCCTCTACTATCTCAGTAAAACATCCTTATTTTAGCAGCCCTCCCCACCCCCCAAAAGCAATGCCTGAGTCTGAGCAACAGTCTGGAGCAAAGCCATGTCCGTACGTGCTCATGTAGACAGAGAACATGGGCAGCTCCACCAGATTTTGTGCCATCATGTTGTCAAAGACAGGAGTGATCCCATCCACGGCCAGCGAGGGGTAAGCCAGCCCCAGGATCCCATCAAACTCAGCGTCCAGGAAGGCTTTTCCTGGCTCGCTGACGCTCTCTGCAAACTGCTGGTTGTTCACGGTGAGGCCCTCGACCTGCGGGGAGAAGGAGGAGGCTCGATGGTGATGCTGAGTCTGTAGGCAAGTCCCAGGCACGTTATCCAGAGCAGGAGAAACCGGAGATGACTCACGACTACTTGGTCAGATCCGATGACCCCTGTCAAACTGCCAGTGCCGTACTGGATGGAGAAGGGGGTCCCTATCGCCTGGTATGTGCTGGACTGTGATGGCTGGAACTTGGCGTGCTCATCTGAGGAAGGAGATGGGAGCTATCACCAGAAATGCCATTTATCTGCACGGCCATGGATGCCTGAAGCCCTCACCACAGCTGGCGGCAGCGACCGGCCTCGGAGCAAAGCTATGGGGCAACGTGGCATCGCCGAAATGTCTGCGTCACCGGCATGCTGCCGAGGGAAACAGCTGCTCCTGAGACAACAGGGCGTGCTGGCGTTTTGAGGAGGGATAACACTTCCCCCATTTCAATCTGTCTGAAAGGTGTGAGGTTTGTTAAGGGGAGTGGGATTAGCTCATGCAATGTTTTTATGAGACCTGAAAATCAGCACTGCTGTTCCCGTCCCACAGACAGAAGCAGCCCCATGGACACTGCTGTATCCAGCTATTTTCCCCGACCTCCCTTGGGCTCTGTTGGAAGCAGTGATGAGCCCTGGGGCTGCTTGGAGATGCTCCGTGTCGTCCCAGGGCAGCAGGGCTGGACTCGACGGGGCTGGCTTATTGCTGAGAGCCCGAACAAGCCCGGTGCTTGTCACCCGCCGAGCCCCCGGGCAGCCAGCCCAGAGCCACGCCGTGGTCTCTGTGCCTGCCTTGTTCCTGCCACCCAGCCCCTTGCTGACAAGCTATATTATGTGCTATCATCTTTGCTTGTTTGTTTAAAGGCTTTCCCATAAGAATGGACTAAAGAGCACGTCCGATATCTCCCACAGGCTGATGGTGCTGGGTGCTGGTGGTGTGATCACCGCCTGCGCCTGAGCAAACAGACCCGCCGAGGCTCCCCTCGCTCACCCCCGGTTTCTGTTATCTGTGTGTGCCTTGGAGGGCTCGGCTGGGCAGGGGGGGCCCCCCGAGGCCTCTGGGCTGTGTGCGCTCGTGACCCCACAGCCTCTCTGGGGCCACCCCGGGGCTGTCACCCGGGGTCCCACCGCAGCCGGCCAGGGGGGACGGCCGGTCGGGGAGCCCCTACTCACCGCAGGCTTTGCTGACACAGTAGACAGACGGCACCCAGAGGTTGGAGGAGCCCGTGTCGAATACCACAGTGAAGTTCTGGGGAGGGGTCCCGATGGAGATCTGCCCGAAATACTCCATCTAGCAGAGAGCGGAGCTGTTAGCTGTCAGCACACCAAGAAATCCTGGCAAAGGGGAGTCTGTGCTGGGGCATCTGCAGAGAACTGATGGGGTTCAGTGCAGGGGATGGCTGGCACCGGGGCAATGTTTGATCTGTCATGGCCGCATCGTGTCAGGTGAAATAAAGGAGCCAAATATTTAAGGAACGACAAGGCAAGGCGAGAACAAACGGCAGGACGGTGGGTGCGGGTGCCATCCTCTTTCTGTTGGATTCAGTGGGAAGGCTGGGCCCCGACGGGACCCTCATCAGCGGGATGCAGACAAGGCTGGGGCTTTGGGGACGGGACCCTCACGCTGCTGGGGAATGGGAAGAGCCTGGGGAGCACCCTCCACCTCTGGCTCTGGGTGCTTTGTGGTGGGGTCTTCTCCGATGCCTGTGATACATGTTAGTTTTGGAGGAAATCTGTCTCCCCGCTGTGTGCCCGAGAGCACCGCGGGCTCAGGGAGTGCAGCAGGCAGGGAGAGGGCTGGCAGTGCCTGCCATGAATGTGGTCCCTTGTCCCCTCGTATCGTCACATTCCTGGGAACAAAGGACCAGGCAGGCAGCTAGCCCTGGCACGCTGGGGCACTGGCTGCAGGCATGCCCCATCAGCAGGCGTGCGCTTAATGGGAAGCATTTGGGCATTGGGGACCGCTCATGCAAACTAATGTGCTTTTGGGGTGTCTGCGGCATGCTGCTGGGACTCAGTGCCCCTCAGCCCTCGGTGCCACCACGCTTACGTCCAGGTAGTTGATGAGAGGCTCGTTGGCCTGCGTGAAGGCAGTGCAGTCCTCGCTGTACTGTACCATGTCGAGCTTGTGGGCTTTCCAGAAGTGGGAGAGCTGCCCACGGTCCCGCAGTGACTTCCGCAGGGAGCGGTGCCGCGTCAGGGTCACCCTGGGGGAGCAAAGGCCCCGGTCACTCGCCCGGGGCCACGGATGCTGCGGATATCGTGCAGCCCCCACGTCCACCCTGAGGGTCCCAGTGCCACCAGGATGCAGGTCCAGAGCCTGCTTTCTAGCCGAGGCACAGCAAAACGGGGGACTTGATCTGCTTTAGGAGGCAGCAAATCAAGGGCAAAGCTGGCAGGAGAGCCCGCACGCCCCAGCACAGGCCTGCTTGCAGCAATGGGTCAGGCAGGAGCTCAACATGACTGATGGAAAAGGACCCTCAGGCTGGAGAGGGGACGTCATGCCGGCATTTTCTGCCCCGTCTGTTTGCACAGCCCTTGGCTGCAGCTGGCAGCTCACGCTGCAGACCCTGCTGCAGCCCACTGCTGCTGATGGGGTCTGCCCGGAGCGATGGAGATGGCCACGGAGCTGACGGTCTGATGGGAGCAAACCAGCAAAGCCCCGTGTCGTCCCCATGCTTCCGTGCAGCCACAGGCTGTCCATGCCGGGGGAGCTCAGCTCTGCACGGTCACTGCCATGCTCGGCGCTGGCAGGACGCTGGGAGCGAAGCCCTTCCGAGACCCCAGGGAGCTGGGGTGCACCCTGGGGACCCCCTTACCTTTTCAAGCTGCTGGCCAGGGAGAGGCAGAGCATGGTGAGGAGGAGGAGGCGTTTCATGTCAGTGGCTTGGCAGCAGCGCTGGCCTCGGCCGGGATCTGCAGGTACGGGCAGTGCCGCAGCGTTGTTCTTATACCAACAGGTACACCCTCACCCCGGCGTACCAGCGCCCGTGATAACGCACCTTTCAATGTCAACATGGGGCTTGAAATGGAAATGAATCACTGGCCACATCCCAGGCGCGGCAGAGCGAGTGCACCGGGGTCAAGTTTGGTTTTGTGGGCGAGGGGCTGGCGGCAGCGGAGCAGGATAGTGCATGGGGACCTGCCGGGCGCTGGGCAGGGGGTTGTGTCGGCTGCTTTTGGGGGCAGCAAAGGTCCCGCAGCAGGAGCAGAATGGAGTCTCCATCCCGGCGCCAGCACCTTATCCGCTGGAAACACAGGGCCCAGCTGAGCTGGTGGCACCCCCCAAATGCTCCGGGGGAGCGTTTCCCCTTTCCTTTGCCCCACAGCTGCCCCCGGGGACCTGCCCATGGCCATGGGGTGCCCCACACCGCGGCTGTGGGGGGGCCGCAGGAAAGGGATGCGTTCGTAGCGTGGGGCAGCTGCTGAACAAACTTTAAAAGGCAAAGACTAATCAGCAGTGATGAACTGCCCAGGAATCTGCAACTTTCCCTTTTAAATAGCAGTCAGGGTCATCAAAGCATGGTCGAGAAGAAGCGCTTTGCATGGGAGACAGTTACATGTTGCCTTACAGCCACTAATGGGCTCTTCCCCAGTGGCTGATTTTTGTTTGACACCGGATGGCCGTCTCATTAAGCCTCTCTGAATGCAAATAAAAAATGCTAATGAACAAATAAAGCCTTCAGATAGGGAGGGGAGGCGAGTGGGGGGAGGCGAGGGTTTCCTTGCTGCCACCATCTCTGACACGTGGCTGAAGGCTTGTGATGGTGCTGTGTCGTCCTGGTGGGTTTTTCCCTGTTTATGGCACTATAGTAACTGGTCATGGGTGCCACAAAGGGAGGTGTTTTACCCAGTGAGCACCGGTCATGTAATTAATGGGGTTTAGCACTGTGCTGATCAGTTTTCCATTTATTCTGGTTAGTCCATTTTATCTAACTAAAGTCCTCGCCTTGGGAAATTAAAGTCCTTGTCTGTGAGGCGCAGGTACTGGCGAGGCCGTGAGCCCAGCATGGCCACCTGAAACCCGTAATGGGCTAATGGGGAACGGCCTGAGAAAGAGCTGACGGGTGCCCCCTGTTAGGGGGGTCTCATCTCCCCATCCCTGGGAGCTGCTGCCGGGCTCCTCCTCTCCGTGGCTTCGCAGGGAGCTTAAGCTTAAAAAAATCTCATCAAAGGCTTCTTCAGCGTGAGCATGGAGGCACGGGGCATGGCAGAGTCGACGCTGATGGCAGATGCAGCCGTTTTTTCCAAGTCAAGTGCAAATTCCCTGCGTTTCCCCATGCCCAGGTTGGTGGCTGTAGTATTTTTTACTGAGTAGCTTTTATACAAAGTTATTATCTATTTCCCTTTTAAGGTGCAGTTTAATGTACCAGCCTCCCTTCTCGTCCGAATCATAGAAGGGATTTTGAAAAAAAATAAACCCTTTCTAAAACAAAACCAATTGCAGCAAGTGGCAGATCAGCTGAAAGCAGCAAGTCGAATGTTACGGACATGGTTTATAACCCGAAAATCCTGTAAGAAAATCCAGCCTGAAGGGTTGTTGGGCTTCTGAGATAAACGTGAGTGTGAGCTGTAGCACAGACAAGCCAAATACTTAAAGCGAAATAGTTTATTTAGTGGAAAAGATCCCCAATTGGATCATAATAATCTGCAAACTCGTGACAGTACATTCAATGTTAAAATATGAAGATTAAAGAAATACAGAGGCCAAACCTTTCATTTAGAAATGTCTGAAGTTAAGCAAATCTATTTCTACTTTTATTTAGTTATTTTAAAAGTAATTTTAAAACCCAAACTCTTAAAGGCAAACAATAGCTTATTTCAAGTCTAATGAAATGCTTTTTTTTCTCTTTCTTTTGGGAGCCAGTGCAAGGCTCGGCCATATTTGTCCAGAAAATTGGGAGAAAAGGCTTTGCTTCATATGCACTTTCAACTCTTTCTTAGTGTTTGAAATACACTGCACAGGCACCATGTGCAATACAGGGTGCCCCTCACCTTGGCAGGGGTCAGCCATGCCGCTGCCCATCCCTGCCTGCTGCTGCCCGTCCCTGCCTGCCGCTGCCCGTCTGCCTGCGCCGGCGCTGCCTTCACGGCACCTCCCGATGTGGTGGAGAGAAACCAGCATGACAGAGCAAAACATGCAGAATTATTCATAAAACTGGGGGCCTTTGACTCCATCTTGTTAATAAAACAGTAGAAAAAGCACTTACGTTCAGTAGAAATGTAATGAAATGTGACTGCCAGCTACTGGCACTTCCCAGGTCTTGTAAGTAATATATGGCCTATATATAGTCCTTATTGCTTCCAGGCAGTAGCTGTCGTGAAGCGTGTCTTACCCCATCCAGCTTTACATGCGTGCCCTCAGATACATCAGAAATAGGTTATGCACCTTGTGCGGAAAACACGCTTCTTGCCGGCTCAGCGTACAGTGCTTTGCTCATTTTAAGAAGCCTGCTTTCAGGCTAAAAATATGTTATCTGTGTTCTTTTTTTATATTTCCTTTAGTTTAGCCACTTCTACGATTAGCTCTGACTGATTGAAATCGCACTCGAGTAGCATTTTCTGAAAAGCCTTTTTTCTGTTTATCAAATACTTCTTCCACCTGTTGATCTGTTTATACATCACTGAGCACTTGAAAGAGTGAAACCCTGCAATAGCAAACACTTTTTAAAAAATAAATATAAACAAGCAAGCTTCAGTTAACTATTAACCTGTGGCACAGAAGCTGTGGGTAAAGCAGGACTAAAACCCCCTGCGAGGGAGCTGATGGACGGCGCGGTCCCCGCGGTCCCAGGGGCTGGCGGGGAAACGCGGGCAGCGACTGACCCATGGCAGGGACTGGCAGGGGACCCCAACTCGTGGTGCAGCTCCTGGGGGTGAACCCCGACAGCGCCTGGCAGCTGAGGGTAGGTAGAGTTTCTCAGGAGCCCATCTCTGCCTTTCGAAAGTCCGGGGGGATTCAGTGAGATGCTAGGGTGTTATTTCCCCAGGAGAGGATTGCTATGGGAGCACAGGGGTGATGGAGATGTTTGGGCACCATCCCCAGGAGTCAGAGACCCCGCAAGAAGGGGGGTCCCTTGCTCCCTGCCCATCTCCTGCCAGGGCAGCAGCACGAGAGGGATCTGGCTGCTGCAGGGCATCTCCAGCACCAAAACACTGTCTCAGTGTGCGGGCTGCAAAATAGTTCCTATGGAGCAGTGGCCCAGCGCTCCCCAAATCTGCTGCGAACCGACAAGAGTGGGTCCGCCAGTCTGCTGTTTTCACCCCGCTTTTATTAAGTGATACCACGAGTTACTACTGACCAGAATTTTTTTCTGGAAAATGGGCAGGTGGAGACCCATTCACCCCCCAGCAGACACCAAGCCATGCCAGGCTCTGGGACCATGTCCCTTATGATTGAAAATGTTTTACCCCTAAAGAAGACTTCTATTTGGAAGCACCCAGAGCACTTTTTGGGTGGCAGCTGAATTGCTCGGGGCTGAGCCAGCCCCACTGCTGCTGGGCAGAGCTCTCTGCCCTCGGGGACCGCTCTGCTCCACCGAAGCTCAGCTGCATTTTAGCACAAAGCTGCTGGAAGACGGAGCAAGAGGGAGAACTGCCCAGGGGATACGGTGTCCCCAGCCCCAGAGCAGAAGCGGCCGTAGAACAGCAGAGAAACACCCAAATATATTTAAATGAGCCCGTTGACAGAGGGGAAGCGTCATGGAACCTCGCGTGGGCTCGTTCCTGCCACCACCATTGGGGTAGAGCGAGACCGCATCCGGCACCGAGCCGGCAAGCGCTTCTGCACTGCTGGACCCCTGCGGCTGCACGGCCACCGAAAATGCTGCCGAAACGTCCTTAATTCCTGCTCCCTCCAAGGCCCTGGCTGCCCCAGTCCTGCGGGAAAGGGAAGGTGTGGAAGGCTCTGGTCCCCCAGGTAAAACGCTACTGGATATTGCACTCCACCGGCCTTTGCAGGCGATGCCTCGGAAAGCAGAGGGGTCGTACATCAGGATGAGAGCTGCGATGGTGCCCGCGGCCAAGGGATGCCTGCAGGCGTGCGTCGCTGCCAGCCTGAGCTTTGGCCTGAGCTTGGGGCAGCAAGGCCTGACTGAAGTGGGATTAACATAATTTGAGGCATTCTCGTGATTTTGCTTACCTTTAGATTGAGCGCAGACATCTTGAATTCGCTGCTCGGTAACCAGCCGTGTAGGAGCCCTTTACAAGCCTTGAGTTCAACAGGGCATCTTGCCTGAGAAAGGGTTAATATGCTGGGGGCTGGAGGGAGGGAGCTCACAGCAAGTTACCTGCTACACCAAAAAAGTACATGCGCTGCCAGTGTCTTGCTAGCTGTTATCTTCAAAATAGATATTTCAATATGCATATGCTTATCGTCTCTTCAATCTCGCCATACCCCATCTCAGCAAAGAAGCTGCCTGCTACTGATATTTGGATTTGGGTCTTATTTTGCAATTTCCTTTTGAACAGCTCATTTTTCAGATCGTTATCTGCTGCAGCAGCGGCTCCTGCCCCACACTAGGAAACGCGCCATTTGAGAATGGCAGCCATTTGAGAAGGATATTTGGGGACAGATCAGTTCAATAAGGGAGGGGGAAAATTCCAGCAAGAAATGGACCTTTAGCTTGGCAGTTGCCCAACTGTTTGGGTAAGTGGAATTTCACAGGAGATTGGTGAGACTATCGGAAAAGCTTTTGATGAGTTACTCTTAGAAACGGTCATAGAGGAAATTATAGAATCTGATCCATGGGATGGATAATGCCTTTGCTCTAACTATCAATCTGTCTGTCAATCATAGTATTATGTCTCCTTTAATCATCGTATCAGAGCTTTAGTTGAAGATAACCTCCCTATGTTAGCCATTTATAAACAGTAAGTATGTAGGCATTGAGTGAAAATTTAAAGTGCCTTTTTGCAAGTGAAAGCTCACAAAATTAATGCCCCTGATTGCCGTCCTTTATTATAAATCTCTTGAACATTATGGCCAAAAGTCCCAAGCCGAGGGGTCCAGTTGAGGCATAGGTGTTTTCTAATTATTTGCTTTAAGTCCCCTTAACTTCAACAGGATTTCAGCACTCACCTAAAATTAAATCCAAGGTGTTTCAAATACAGAGGTGTTGAAGGGCCCCCAGCCTTTCTGGCTGGATCTTGACCGATGCAAGAGCCTGGCACCAAACCGGGGGTCTTCTTTTGGTTACTTTCTTCTATGTGTTTTTTTTTCTAGATTATAGTTATCAAATATTTTTTGTGGATTAAAAAAAAAAAAAGGCAAGAGTGGATTAACGCAAGAAGAATAAATTTTGGTTCTTGTTATTATCAGCACCGCGGTGGAGCCCAGAAGCTCCAGTCAAGTATCAGCTATGACCGAGGCGGCAGCGTATAAAGCCATTAAGCTCAATGATAGTGGCAGGGGGAGTCTGTGGCTGTGCGAGGGGTGCGTACGAGAAGGAATCACACGTACAGTATGAGCCTCGCGCAGAGGGAAGGCTGGGTACCTTTATTTTACGTTTGTAATGTCAGACCACTGCTTTCAATTGGCGAGCCTGATCTTCAGTTGACGTGGAGCAGCATGAAGCTCAATGGGACCGTTTTGGTTCATTGCCACCAGGGCTAGCTGCCTCTCTCTGTCCCTGACAAGACCTCCAGCGCTCCGCCGGGCATCACACTGACCACCGAGACGCCTCGCGGGGAGGATGAGCACTTGCGAGTGGTGAGTACAACACCCCGGGGCTCAGCCGCAGGTGTAGGCCTTTGCAGCCCTCCTGCAGCGAGGGAGATGCTCTAAGATGGAAGGACAACTGCTGCTACGGGGCACCTCTCTGCTCGGTCTCCCCATCCTCGCTTGGCCGGGCTCTGGCTGCGGGGATGCTGTGCCGCGGGGCCAGGAGCAGCGGCAGAGCGCGGGGATGCCGCAGCCCCCGTCACTGGTGCCACCGCGCCTGCTTCTTGCTGCGCTGGGGACAATTACGCCTTGTCACTGGATGGGCCGCGTCTGGCAGACACAGGCGCGAGTCTCAGAAAGGGCTTGGGCTTTTGGCAGGAGCCACATTCATAACTTTTCTCTTCCAGCAAGCGCTGCGCACCCTCCCGCTGGCAATGAGGCTTTCGAAAACCCTTCTTAAGACGGGCACCCAAAAATGAAGTGCAAGGAGCACTAGTCATTTTTGAAAATGAAGCCTCAGATTTTTGGGCACATCCCCTTAAAGACAAAAAGCAAAACCAAAAACTGTAGCAGCAAACTTGGTCTAAAACATGCTTTGAAGCAATGGCGGCCAAGCAGTACGTGAAAGATCTAAAATAATGTGCTTATTGCTTTCATTTAGACAAAATATTTTTCTCTTGTTCAGGTGGGTGCTTGTTGCCACCTCAGCTGTCACCTTGGTCCTATACGCTCTCCTCTTGCTGACACTTTACATCATGCTGAGTCGGAAAATAGGTAATTTACTGTCTTGTCGGTTGTACCTGTTGTGTTCCTCATTCTTGCTCACAATCGTCCAGTTCAGAGACTGAAAGTCATTTGCCCAAGGCTTCAACATCCCCCGGTTTGTAAAGCACAACCGAGTCCTTGCTCTGGGTCTGGATCTCGCTCCCGCTCTGGGAAGCGACCGGCACTGCTGCGGAGCCCGTGCGGGGTAAGCGCGGGAGACGGGCCCCCCCAGGGACCCTCCGGACCCCCGGGTGGGCCAGGAACAGGAATGGGAATGAGTCAGGACAGGGATTATCCATCAGCATCACTGTGCTGTGCCGGGGGGCCAGGCTGCGGCCGGGGGAGGCTGCCCGGACAGCCGCTGTGCGAGCAGCTATCAGCGGTATGGGCAGTATCAAAACCATTTTCTTTTATTGCTCTTGTTAGTAAAATGGTGGAAAAATACCATCAGAATCAATTTGCAAAATTAATTCAGATGAAGCTACGATTTCCAGCAGGAAAATCTTTCATGCAAAACTGCTGCCCACGTTTGTACATAAGCAAGCTCTGCTCGGCCCCGTGGGTCAAACTAATTTTGAACTTGCATGGGAAGAGGCCTTGATGCTGTGATTTAACACTGGAGTCTTTCATCACAGGAGAACAGGGCACGCACTTAATCATCTCAGTAATTGAATTGATAGATATTTGCCCGCTCCAGTACATAATAATAATTACTGCCGTGCCAGCAGCTTGCGCTGAACTGGCTTTGCCGTGGGGCAGTGCTGGGGCTCGCGGAGCGGGTGGGGTCCGTGGGGCACGGTGCGTGGGGAGCATCGGACACAGCCGGCGTCTCGGGCGGGAGCGAGGAGCTAACTCGCCTCTCGGTTGCAGCCAGCCATTCCTGCGGCAAGCAGGCGAGCAGCAGCCCTGCAGCACAGCCCCAACAGCCTCCGACCTCTTCAGCCGGAGGGGAAGGGGTGCAAAGACCGACCTACGCAGGTAAAGGGGGATCCTACAGCAATGGGGTTTTGTCCTGGCTCATGAAAATAAATGTATGGTATTGCATTTGTGCAATACTTTCTTCCTTAACCAGCCGTGAAGACCCTCACTGCTGGCCTTGGGGTGGAAGAGGGAGCAAGCGGCCGGGCGAAGGGCAGGCGCAACAGCCGCTCGCAATTCCAGTGGCCTCCTGCCTCCTCTGGGCTTTCCCTGCACGGTTCCCCAAGGGCAGGGGGATGAAGAGGGGAGGGATCACACTGATGCTTTTTGGATTTTCAGTTTTCACTTTCGAGCACATTTGCTTTTTCTCCCTGATTTTTTTTTTCCTTTAACCCCCCAAGTAGTGATGGAGGTGGTAATGTTTCCTGTTTTTAAGGGAGCAGCGACACGTCTTCGGAGACCTCGGAGGACTCAGACAGCAGCCCTTCCTGCTCGCAGGTATGGCTGTGGGCAGAGAGCCTTTGCCAAAAGCAACCACAGCCGCGGCAGCGGAGGTGCCGGCGCTGTGTCCACACGGCTCCTGCCCAGCTCAAGACCCACTGAGTAGCAACGGGGGGGCGAATGCATCGAATCGTATTGAAATACCGGCAGTGAGGCTGGGGCTGGGGTGATGTCTGTCACCTGCCGTACGCAACGATCCCCATTTAGAGGGCAGCATCCCAGGGGGCCAGGGAGATCCCTGGGCACGAGCCAGGCACCTTGAATGGCTGCACGCCTTTGTGTGCGTTCAAGGGCAAAGCCACCCCGGGTGAACGCTGGTGCCTGACCTGGCATTCGTGTTTGCTTCTGCAGGGCCCTCTCGCAAAAGAAAACCTCAATTACACGTCCCTGGTCTTCCCAGGGAAAGGCCGTGGGTCAGGCTCGGTCACGGACTACGAGAACATGAAGACTGGGGCGGACTACATCAATGTCGACCCAAAGAAGAGGAAAGTGGATTTCTGGCCCTGCTCCAGCCCTGTGACATCCAAGTCCATCGAGTACACCGAGGTGAAGCTGTGACTCCCGGGATGCTGCTGGCGGGGTTTGGGGTCAGAACGCCACGGGGACGGGGAGATGCTCAAAGCCCCTGGCAGCCGCACAACCAGGGCTTCCCCTTCCCCTCGCCTCGGTCAGTGCCTGGCACGGGCTGACGCCTGCTGGCTTTTATTCCTTGTAACACTCTAACCCGTCGATACAATTCACTTGGTATTTTACTTAAATGCATCACTGTTCCTGAAGGCTGCTGAGCGTGGGTTGGTGCAGGGAAACGTTCCTCCTACCCAGGCTGAAACGTGCTCTCCAGTTTGTGTGATGGCCCTTTTTCTCATTTCATGAAAGCAAATGAAACATCCCCCCCTGCCCCTCCAAATGGGATGTAGTTCGGGGAGGGAAATGCCGTGGTCTTCAAAAATACCCACCCGAACTGGCTGGCATCTCCTCTGAATCATGCTTTCTTTGCTGATCGCTGTCATAAAACCCTTTTAAATACAGTTCCTCCACTGGCTTTGCCCTTGCTGCCCAACAAGCCCTGATTCATCGCCCTCCCCTGCACCCTTTTTCCTCTGATGCTCAAAATGTTTCCAAGTCCCCGTCGCCTTCAGAGCTGTCGCTGGGGCTGGGGTGGCCGCGCGGGCGGCTTGAACCCTGGCCACGCATCGGGGGGATGCCAGGGCCGGGGGGAGGAGGGTGGCCCTGCCAGGGAGTTCCCTTGCCCAGCTGAGAGCCATAGCCATCAGCCCAGCTGGCAAATGGCCCAGGGCTTCCCAGGGATTTATATCCCCCCTCCTCAGCTGGAGTATCTGGGCTGGCTGCCGGTCCCTCTGGGCTGTGAGGGGTGCAGGACTGGACCACAGGTCTCCATGTGAGTGTAGGCAAGTCAAATCCCTCTGTGTCTTACGGGGAGGGATGATATTCCCTGTCTCCCACCTTTTGCTTTTGCTGCTTTGTCCCTACACCAAATGCCCTGGGTGCAGGAGTCGGCCTCTCCCCAGCCCAGCGGTGCCTGCACCCAGCAGAGCTGGAGGGGGGGTCTGTGTGCCCCTGCCCCCGCTGTGGTCTGCCACCACCTTTCACATTTTCCTGAAGTATTGGTTTAATTCCCAGGGGACTTGGAGTACAGCACTGCAATTTTCTCTGACAAAACTGAGTTGGGGGCTCTCCAGCTTGCAGAGATAAGCTTGGGATTGAGAACTGAATGTGCTGGGAAGGCTGTTATCTTCTCAGAGGTGCTGCTGCCCCTGCTTGCCGGTGATTGCCTTTGCCAGGTCACCTTCATGCTCCCGAGGTCTTGGAGAGCCGGTGCCCTGCCGGTGGCCGGGGCTCGCCGTCCTTGCTCTGCCACAGCAAATCGCTGCTGCAAATGGGGACCGGTTCCCTCCCATCGCTCTGCATTTTGTTACCTATGATTTTTCAAGAAATAAACTTTCAAAGTGCTGGGGAAGAGGAACCGTGCAATAGCTGGGAGCTCTGTTAGGCTGATGGAGCTGCTGCCTCCCGGTACAGCCCCCCTGTGTCAGGGATGGAGCTGCCCCAAGTGCATTTCAAATTGGCTCAGCAGCGATGTGCTTTAATGAAAGGTTGCGAGACGATTGATTTGGTATTGATCCCGGGGAGGACTCTGAGGTTGGTTTTATGACCTTATGGTGCAGATCTGGCCCAATTTGAAGGGCACGTGATGGAAAATGTTCAAAAAACCAAAGAATCTCTGGGAAACTTTGCTAAAGGCTGGGGGAGTTGGGTTTATGGAACTGGAGATGAGGTCAAAACCAGCTAGTGGGAGTTTCTGGAAAAACTGATTCAAATGCTTGGTGATTAAAAGGTGAAAATAATTTAAGATTTCAAAATACTCTTAATGTCTTATTTTTTGAGATTTAGCCTGTAATAATAGAGAGAATAACACACCCTGCTTGCTGGGAGTTTGGTACCTTGCTCTCTGGGGCACTCATACGTCCTCCATCAGCAGCTTTTGAGCTCGACTCCCAGAGCAAATGGATGCTCTTGCCTGCCTCGCTCATGCTTTCTTCTGAAACAAAACAGCTTCTGGGAGACCCACAGCTCGCAGGAAGAAGGGCAGGGGCCAGGCTGGGACTGCAAGGCCGTGGCTCATCCACGGCCGCCCCTTCTCTCTGCTCCCCAGTGCCCTGAAGCCATCTCCGAGCCCCGGGTGGTTTCAGCACTCTGATCTCTGCGAAATAAGACAAAAGCAGCAGCAATTTGAGAGCAGCTCTTTAATGGGATGCAGCAGCTGTTGAACAGCGTGGAGCAGCCCTGCACAGCGGCTGGGGACTGCGAGTAAACCTGATGGAAAGTGCTGGGGCACGGAGGGAGGCAGGAGCTGCCTGGGCAAGCTGGAGCCGGGCCAGGGTTCCTCCAAGCAGCTCTTTGGTGTCAGGGCTGCGTTTGGGGTGCTTGCATCAGCGCAGTGCGATGCCACTGTGTGGTAGCAGGACAGCTGTGCACAAAGCGAGGGGACGTTCCTGCCCCATGGCTTTTGCTGCAGCCCCGTCCCTGTCCCCGGGGAGGTGGGCAGGGGTCTGGCTCCAGAGCTGCCTGTCAGCAGAGGGTACTGCCACGCCGCGCAGCGGGGAGAGTGCTGTGCCCCAGGGCCTGGGAAAGCTGTATCCGCGTTTGCTACTCTGCCAGCAAAGCCCTAAGGATGGGAGATGAGTAACTTGTTTTCAGGGAGCTCTCGAGCAGATGTAGCCACCTTGCCTCCTGCTGTGCTCAGGCTGCTTTGCTGGCAACTGTTAAACACCCACAGCTCGAGTCCCTCCAGGAAGACACGCTGGCGCAGCAACCCCCGGGTTGTGAGACGTTCCTGGAGGAGAGCAGCCAGGCAGCGAGAGGCTTCCTAGCATATGAGGGAGGTGGATGCTGTGGTCAGGCAACGGCTGATGGGGCTCTGTCCATCTTCCCCGATGCACACAGCAGATGCATTGCAAGCACACAAGGACAAGATGGACAGTGATGCTTTCTGGGTTAAGCACCCAGCTTTCTGCAAAATGAGATGCTACCAGGTGGGGAGAGACACCTCTGCAGTGACAATGTTTGTGCTGTCACATCTGGTGGCAGCTGTCCTCAGCAGAGGGATGCACCCAGGGTCTGGCCACCGCTGCAGCCTAGAGCGTGCCCGACTCGGTCACCACCTCCTCACAGGGTGGGCAGAAGTCCTTGGTGCTGCCGCCGTGCAGGGGGAGGCCGGCGGTGCTGGCGTGGTGGCTGTGGCTCAGGATGGTGGTTTTCCTGCTGCAGAGGCTCCCGGTGGAGGCCTGTCGCCGCAGCCCGGGCCGGGGGCCACCCCAGCAGGACAGGCACTGTGCTGCGTTCTGGAGCAGATGCCCGCTGAAGAACATGTAAATCCAGGGGTTGCAGCAGCTGCTGAGGCTGGCCAGCAGCATGGTGATGGTGAAAGCCACGTTGGTGGACTCTGGGAAGGCAAGGGAGAGAGCTGAAACATCCACCAGGCTGGGCATGGTCTGGGCAGGGTCTCAGTGTGCAATGGGCAGGACCCTGGGGGCTCTCTTTGGCTCGGACACGTGTGCTTTGTCCCATTCCTATCCCATTCCCATCCCATCTGACTGGCATTTCTTTGGGTAGGAGAGTTTGCAGCGCGGCAGGCAGAGCCAGGCTCTGCCCTTGGCTGAGGGCTGCAGATGGGTGATGTACAGTGACAGGGATGTGCTGGAGCACGTCCTCAGGGAGAGTGCCGGGAGATGAGACCCAGCAGCTTTTGGACGTTCCTTCAGCCTGCTGGCTGCCCAAAGCATCTCCCAGAGGCCTTTCAATCTTGGATAAAGTTCCTTCTACCAACAAACAGGCTAGGAGAGCTACTGAAAATTTCCAGAAAAAGTCAACCTATGAAATGAGAAATCCACTTCTGCAACCTCTGCAGCTGGCTCAGCAAAAGCCTCAGGGGCACTCGATGCTGCATGCAAAGAAGCTGCTCCAGCAGCACGGCTGCTCCGCGGGGCAGTCCCGGCGGAGGGGGGAGCAGCAGGCACAGTGAAAACCCTCTGTGCAGTCACATACCAGACACAGCAACTCCAGAAGCAACTTCCCACGTGAGGGAAGAGACACACAGGGCAAAGATGTTCCCACAACATCTTTACGATGGTCAGAAGCCATTGATTTTCAGTGTTTTTTCTGGTGAAAGCAATGATTTGACTCTGCAAACTTTTCCATAAATACTACTGGGGGGCAAATCTGTAGCCTTCCGCGTGATTTTTAAAATGACGAAAGAAGACAGCTCTTGTTTGTGAAAAATGCAACGGGCATGCTGCGTGCCTCGGGTGCCCGGGGCTCTGCGCCTGCTGTGGGCTGCAGCCCAGCATCCCCACTGCTACTCACCGTCATCAGGAGCATCCTCGTCCCACACCGACCACATCTGCATGCTGAAAAACGGTGCCCAGCAGGCGATGTAGGCCACCACAATGACAAAGGTCATCTTCACTGTGCGGATCTTGGCACGGGAGATGGTGCGCACACTGCTCACCCGCGAGGGCTGCCCGCTGGGGCATTGCCTGCTCTTCTCGGAGGAGCAGGGAGCAGGAGGAGCAGCTGCCGCTGTGGGCCCCCCCGTGCTGGGGGCACCGCTCTGGGTCTTGCCCTTGAGGTTCTTGCAGATCTCATAGCAGATGAGGCTGTAGCAGACGGTGAGGATGCCCACGGGCAGGATGAAGATGCACAGTGTGGTCCAGGTGATGTAGGCTCGGGCTCCCCACGGGTACCTGAAGTCTGCCCAGCAGTCCAGCACCCCCGAGCCCTGGCGCACCTCCCGCAGGGAGAAGATGAAGATCTGGGGCAGGCTGAGCAGGCAGCTGAGCAGCCACGTAGCCCCGATCATCACGTAGGCCTGGCGGCTGGGCTGCTGCAGGGTGCGCAGCGGGTGGCACACGGCCATGTAGCGGTCCAGCGTCATCACGATGAGCATGTAGGTGGAGGCGAACATGCTCAGCACCTGCAGGTACTTGACTGCCCTGCAGAGTGGGTCCGGCCCCAAGAAGCGGTACGTCACCTCCCAG